ATCTTGTCTCTCACTTTAAAATTAAGGATGGTTAGCGAATAAAAAAATCCGTTAAGCCGTGCACGAAATCATGCTGTGTTCATGCTGGGAATCGAGCTCGGGATTTTAGCATTAAAAACACAAATTCGTGCGGCGATAATTTTTATCTAAATTCTACTGTTGATTAACGAAATAACCCACTTTTGAAAAATCAGCCAACCACATTATTGAAAATGCAGTACAGCGTTGGCAAATCTTCTTTGTGCAAAATATACAAAGATGATACAAGTAAAAACCAACCAAATCTTGGAGAATTCCCATTCCCATTAATTTTTTTATATTTTTTCCAAGAAAAAGTTTTTTACATCTATTCAACTATTTGTTTGTTAGTTTTGTGTGAATCGGGCTTTCTTTCGTATGGTGAGCAGTTTTTCTAAAAACAACAGAGAAGTTACATTTGTATGAATATGCTTTATATTTTCTAAATACAAACATTTCAGAAAGTGTAGTAGACAGGAGTTTTTTTTTTCATGCATCACAGTAGATCATTTAGCCCACCAGTCCTGAATTGTGATTTCCTGCCTCCAGTATGGCCTAAAAATAGCACTATTGGGTCAAAATATAATTGTAATGAAATTGATTTAATCATAGTGTGGCTTTTCTTAATTAGTGTTAATAGGGCAGGGTAATGCCATCGTCCTAAGAGGCGGGGTGTCCTGACACCATTTTGAGGCAGGAATTGAACATGCCCTTTCACTTATTTGAGCCTATAGTTATTTCTGCTTTAAAAAGCTTGATAGTAGGGTGTAATTTTATTCATTTATCGAATTTACAGTTACGTACTGTTTGACGAAAAAATATAAATATCTAGTTAAAGATGTGCCCATTCTTCCCCAGATGTTCAATGGACTAGATCCTCGACAAATTTGTTATTCGAATAATCTTTTGGACAGGTGATCTGTATTGTTTAAACATATTTAACTTATATTACTTAGTTGTCAAGCAACATGGGAAAGAAGCGTCACTTAACTGACTTTCAAAGAGGACATTTTGTTGGTTTGATGTGGATCCCGTTTAGAAGAATATTTCCTTGTTGAAGTTTCTGTAGAATTTCCCGATTTTATAGCTTAGTATCGGGAGGCATGGCAAAGTTATAATAGCAGTCGTGGGATTTTACTGGCTATGTGAGAAAATTTTGTATTTTAGTGGCTGGTCTATGAAGCTCTCTGGGTAAGTATGGGATTTTGATCTCGTTTGAAGGCTTTTTCTTTTTCATTTGAGAATCATTGCAGATTTTTTTATTTATTTTTTGATGTATTGTAAATCATTCCTAATAGTTCTTCTTTTACTTAATGTGCATGATTAGACTTGAACTTGTGGTATCAATTGTTCGGATTGGTTTTCTGTATATGTCTGTGGTGGGATGGTGATCTTGTCTGATCATCAAATCCAGGATAGGAAGTGGATCTGTTGGTTTTTGTTGGAACTGTGAACTAAATATTTGGGTTTACAATATTGATGTGCTCTTGAAATTCTGTTATAGTGTCATATGCACATGGCCAAATGCAAATAGCAGTTTCACTTGCTTAAATCCAATAAAAAGTTTTGTCTCTGTTTTAGGATGTACATAACACGTGTTGTTTTTCTATGTTTATGCTACATTTTCAGATTGATACTGTCCGTAAAGTAGTTTCTTTTAGTACAAAGCTACACATTGAGCCGTTTGCACCCTCTATACCGCAGGGAATCGAATCCCATTTTAACTCCGTAAGCTTATCGCTGACCCACTGGAGATCTGTCTGGAAAGAAATCGTAATTTGCACCAAAACAATTGCTATTCACTTGGCGACAATGTTAGATTTAATTGACATTTAATATATAATCTATTGTTAGATTAGAGGGGAAGAGATAAGCTACTACATCATTGCATGAGGTTATATTTATATTAGCAACTATAGTTCTTGGCGTTGTATATTGCACTATTATTAACAACTTATTCTGACTGAAAACGTTCTCTATCAGTATCTCAAACAACTGAGTGAAAAATCAATAGGTTCGAACAAAACTCTGCAAATGATTTGAAAAATAGACCCACATTCATCTATTTATCCACCCAGAATACATCGCTAATTCAGTAAGTCAAAACTCACCATTACCTATCTAGCAATTGACACCGCAATTAAAACAATATCTCACCTTAGTAACAAATCGTGGTCAGTGAATTCATATTAAAAGGTAAAATCTCTATAGCTTCACGTACACAAAACATTACAGCTAAACAGGTGTTATAGTTTTTAATTTCTGACAAATAGAGAAAACTAACGATTTAATTTCACGACCATAAATATTATTCATGGAAAACTCTGGAGAGCGAACGATACAGTATCCTTAATGGAACAATACGCTGATTCAAGGCTTTTTTTAACACCATAGCACCACAACGAGGGCATAAACTGTAGCTATAAAGCACAAAAAACACATAAGTATAGAGCACAGAACTTTTTACACACTATAAGTATACTTTGGAATCAAGTGTGAATGTTACAGTTGATTAAAGATAATTATATATGTAACAAGAAATAATGAAAGATCTTAGTGAGACTTCTTAAAGTTTTTAGATAATTTAGACAACTCACGTCAATGACTTTGAAAACTATTAGAGAGACCGGGCTACTGCAGTAGCCATTGCCATGCGTTAGCTGACTCATTTTACTTGTTGCTTCTGAAACTTGAAGAATAAAAATAATAAATTAAGGAATAAACGTAGAAAAATGTGGAACCAATAGTCTTTATCCTGTTCGTAAAAGAGTCGACAAAAAATTCATAAATTTAACATCAGATACCCACAAGCTACCGAAAGAGTTCATTCCTAGAAATTCATCTATTTGAATAATATTATATATTCAGTAACTTATAAACTATCACTGCGCATCAGATCTTTTTCTTTTGTCTTCTTTTACGAAAAATATCTTTAAACTTCTTATATATAACCTCTGAATTATGGTTATTGAATGTGTATAGGTGGTGAATTACTTCGTTTGATTATGCCCAGAAAAACAATTGGAAACTTGGATTTTGTATATAACGATAATCACAATCTTGTAATGAAAGATTTGTCAATCACTGGAATACAATTTTTCTTGCTATCATTCTAGAACACATTTGTGAAGTAAATAAACTAATACATGAAAACCGAAACGTCATCTCGAAACTATGAAAAAACAAATGAATAAAACTCAATATACATGCTAAAACACAAAATCTGTTTTAAAATAACCTTTTTCTTTAACTGTAGTATAAGTTCAAAAGAGCAGCTTACCTATCAATATTTAACTTCCAATAGAAATTTTATGAAGAAAAAGTCAAAATGTCACATTTAACTTCCATATAGTGCAAAAGCTTGTTGCTGAAAAATACTCTGACATTTAAGGTATATATAAAAAAAGTTTTTATGGACAAATTCATTAATAATTTATAGAGATCTTATCTCAACTTAAACCTTCTATCCTGTTGAGGAACGTGCCCTTTTTCTATTTCTCTTTGAGTAAATAGTTTAATGTTCCCTAAGGCACAAATACACTGAAATAAACAGAAGTGGGAGTTGGAAAAAAAATATGTTTGAAAATTTCCATTATAATCTCAAGCACATTGAATTTTTAAATACTCTTTGAATTTTACAGTTGGGCATGTAAAGGTTGAAGAGTGCGCAGTACAAATTATGGAATAATCTTTAGAAAAGTCATTCTCATTTAGAACTTTCATCTCCAATATCGAAGACTTTGTTCCTCTATCATCACTGTTAGCGTTAGCTACAGAAAAACCTCTTACAAACTGCATTTTAAAATCCTGACATAATAATGATTAAACATTTTGTCATCGATCAAATCCTTTTAATTTCCAGTACGATTTATAATGTTCTTTCATATCAGATAAATACAACCTCACATAAACTATGCTTGCTTACGTCTCTAATGTTATTTTGCTTTGAGATTTGATAAAAGTAAGGTTTACTGAATTGAAAGGATATCAACAATTACATTATTTTAAGTCATCTGATTATTTGTCTTTTAAATATACCACACCATGTTACTTTTCAGGTTGAAATATATGCTTTGTTACCTTGGCAACAGCTCAGGCAGTAAAACAAAACAAAACATAGAAGAGTGGACAAATTAGTTTACTTGATTTTTTCTATATAAACAAACATCAGAACCTAATATATTGTTCCTCACTTGTTTATGTTTTAGTTTCTTTCTTAAAGGATTAAACAACTTCGTTTTGGGCAGCTTCCCGGTTACAAGAACCGTTCCTGTAGTGTTTTCCTGCACCAGTAGTACAGATTCTTTGGTCTTCAGGAGTTACTATTTTAGCCTCCTTCAAATCCAACTTTTCTCCCTTTCCGCAAGAAGTAAGACGAGAGCTCTTTCGACTGCTCGAGAACCGATATGTAATAGAGTAACGAGTAGACCCTCCCACGGAACGAGAAGTTTTCCAGCGTTGCAGATGTTGACGGAGCGTATTTTGGACCTGTGTAAACGAATGAGTCATAAATCGAATTTAATTCATCCATCTTACATAAGATTACACGTAAGACAAAAACGTTTTCTTAGCGTCATCAACTGATCGTTTTATATACAAAAAATGATTTATTTTAAGAAGAACTTACTAGTTGGACAGAAATGAAAAACCAAACATATTTTCAGAAATAAATTTTCGTATTTTCCTTACTTTGGGGTCGATAAGAATATCATAGTTGTTTTACCTGTTAGTACTGTGACATTTTAATTCAATTTCTTGTGACTGTACAACGTTATTAAAACAAGCATTTCTATAGAATTTCCTTCAGTTCCATCTGGTATTTAGAAAAAGATGATGAAAAACGTGAACATAGACAAATTTCTATATAAGAAAATACGGATTTGAAATTACCGTTTTATGAGGAATATGTAATATAATATGCACAACGATATGATAGCAGCAATCATTTATCACTGTGACTAGCTTCATTGAATAAAACTGAAACCCTGGTAAGCTTTCGATATATAATGACAAGATGAAAGCAGGAAAAATATGGGTTTGGTGTCACTTGTACCTAAAACTCTGGATATAATTAAAAAATACAATATTTATTTAAAATACTGTCCTGAATCGTTGAGTTGTGGCTTCTAGAACTTTCTCAAAAGTAGACCCATATTAATGTATAACGCAATTAAGGTTAGGTTTCAATGTTTTAATCAGCTTACATCATTCTCCTTATGGAAGTGGACCCATGAGAGAAATAATAGCTTTTTACAAATAACTTTGTTTAAAATCATGACCACAGAAGTTCACTTGTGCTGTTTGTATTTCTTTTTTTTTACTTTTATTTTGACCTCATCATACACAAAATAAATTCAAAAACGTCATTAACAATTTCAGCCATCTAGAGGTATACCTCACACAATATGTATATTAATTTTATATACGCACACAAAAAGCATGCCTTTATCACTATCATTAATGTATAAGAAAATTACCTACCTCTCCATTTAGGAAACAGTACAAAATAGAAACTGACAGACCCTGTCGGCAAGAAAAAGAAACATTTGAGGTTTCAACTGAACAAAAAATATACTCTGACAGAATTGGAGTTTTTTCTAACATCATGTGAAAGTGTTCTCGTTAGTGAAACATAATTACATAGTATATAGTACATAGCTTTTAAATAATAGAAGAAAACATATTTATATACAGACATATATTTATGTCAACTGCTGATAATATGACACTACTACTTCACCTAAAATAAGAGCTTTTTCTTAACAGTGTTACTATGTGAAAACTTACTACCAGTGAATTTCCTTATATAAGCCCCACATACAAATGCTTACAAAAACAAAAAACACAATTAAATATTAATACAAATTAATGCCCGTTAAGCAGAGCTGGAGTATTGTTTTGTTTTGATTTTTAAAAATGTTTCTGTACTACAGGTGTCACACCAACTCTTCAGTAGCTCGATTCTCAATAATCAATTCTAACAGAGCATGTTATTTCCTACCTCCAAAAGTACTTGGAATGCTACTGTTTAGAGAGTGTCATTCACTGCTCATGTTTAGGTTTTGTTTATTTGTTTGTTTTTGTTGGTGGCAAAGCTACCTAGGCTATCTGTCGTCATTTCTAATTTTGAGTTGCCGACTAGAGGGAAGGCAATCGCTTAGCCAAACCCATCGCTAACTCGTGAGCTGCTCTTTCACTAACAAATAGTGAGGTTGAACAGCACATTATAAACGCCTCACAGCTGAAATGGCAAGCATGTTCGGTTTCGGTCCTGTAACCCAAATATTGCAAGTTGAAAACCCTAACCGCTAGACTATGAATATGATAGTCACTTTAGACACAGAATTTGTTAGTAGCAAAGTATTTTGTTGGTTGGTATGAAGCATGGGAGTTAATTTATTGTGTTGTTTATATACAGATCAGAAGTGTTGATTTTTAATTCACGTGTTCCAGATGCTTGAATAGTTTGGAGGCTTTAAAACCGTAAACATGTATATATTTTTAAATATTGTTTCTGTTATTTCTTTTTCTAATATTTATTGACACCAGCTTTTTGTTAATTAGGTCTTAAGAAAAATTCCGCTTTTAAAATATTTCCTTTTACAATTATCATATTTTTCCTTTAATTTCCAAAACTGAATTTAAAAAATTGAATCATGACTTGTATTTATGCTAAAAAATTACCTGAGTCGAGAGTAAAGTAGCTTGAACATAGGTGAAAATCACACGAGCTGTCCTATGGGTCGGCGTAACAATGACCAGTACATAGGTCACACCAAGGAGAGGAATCAGGACTAGAAGAGCTTTTGCAGCTTTTCTGTAGATAATAATGTTTGGAAGTTTAAATACCGAGTAGGTTACCTTGAAACAAATTACTTATAATTAAATACATATATGTGTGTGTGAGTGCCTTTTATGTGTAGATTATAGACATATAGAATGAACCAGTATATACGTTTTTCAATGTTTTATACTAAAAGTAAAATTTTTGAACTTCAAGATGCAATTGTTTTTTTTTTCTCACTCCAAAACATAATAATAAATGCTTTAGAACCATAGTTCATTCACAAAGTCATAAAGTTAGTAATGTTTTAATTAAAATATACCCGTGAAATATACACAATGATTTTCCTTTCAAATCCCCTAGTTTATAATACTTTGAAAACTTTTTCTCTGTTTGACGCTTAAACTACTATACTAAAACAAAGACATTTTTAGATGCATACTATTAGCATTTCATTTTACTGTCAAAACTCTCACCTGGAGAAGTTTAACATGTAACACAAAAATAAAGTTTACTGGCAGAATTGTGGAAGTCTACTACAAGCAAGCATCGCCTTTTCTATGCTGGAAATTATCTTAGAATGTCCAAATATAATCACCATGTATATACATTTAAATTTTTGCAATAAACTATATGCAAATAAGTAGAGAATATAAACTTTCAATTATTACATTAAACTAAATGCAAATAAGTAGAGAATATAATCTTTTAATTCTTGCACTAAACTACATGCAAACAAGTAGATAATATAAACTTTCAATTCTTGCACTAAACTAAATGCAAAGAAGTAGAGAATATAAACTTTCAATTCTTGCACTAAACTAAATGCAAATAAGTAGAGAATATAAACTTTCAATTCTTGCACTAAACTAAATGCAAATAAATAGAGAATATAAACTTTCAATTCTTGCACTAAATGCAAACAAGTAGAGAATATAAACTTTCAATTCTTGCACTAAACTAAATGCAAATAAGTAGAGAATATAAAGTTTCAATTATTGCACTAAACTAAATGCAAATAAGTAGAGAATATAAACTTTCAATTCTTGTACTAAACTAAATGCAAATAAGTAGAGAATATAAAGTTTCAATTATTGCACTAAACTAAATGCAAATAAGTAGAGAATATAAACTTTCAATTATTGCACTAAACTAAATGCAAATAAGTAGAGAATGCCTAAATGCTTAAAAAACTTCTCAGACAAGGAATCACAAATCTCACCGGTACTGCTTATGTTCAATCGTGGTAGCAGCTCTCAGTTTGGTGATTAAAACCCACATTATTTGGCCCAGAAAGAACATGTTTACCTGGGAAAGAATATCATAAATTGTAGCTTATTGTCTAAAAAGAAAAGTATTTCTTTTAATGTGATAATACTATTAATCACCCCACCAGAGTGTCTACAATCACTAATAACTACTTGTACAATTCTGTTTTACTAACTCAAAATCTAAAAGGTTACTTTTTACCGTATTCCTGAAAAGCCTAATTTTTTCCTTTCTTACTGCAACTGATATTATTTGAAGTTAAGCACAAAGCTACACAATGGACTACCGGTGCTCTGCCCACCACGAGTTTCTAAACCCGGTTTCTAGCGTTGCAAGTCCGCAGATATACTGCTGTGCCACTGGGTTGCACTTGCAACTGACACAACGTGGATATAAAAAAGGGTGTAAAGTAATGTTTCGCACTATTTTTCTTGTTTAACTTGCTAACTTTCACATTACTTCTTTACAGGATTCGTTCTTTCAAATGCCTTGTTTTTATATCACATCTTATTAAGGTTGATTCCTTTATTTTAACTTGGCTGTACTTGTACATGTAAAATTTCTTGACCGGATAAGCCAATATATTTTTACTCTAAACATGAAGTTTTCTGTGAGATCTATGCTGAGATTTTTCCGTTAAATTTTTTTTCAAAGATTGTGCATCTGTATAAGTTCGTCAGTCTGATCTATTTGTCAGAATTTGCCACCACAGGGCGCACCTTGATATCACCCAAACCTTTACTAAGAAGAACTGTTTGTCGTTAAGCACAAAGCTACAAAAAAGGCTATCTGTGCTCTGCTCACCACGGGTATCGAAACCCGGTTTCCAGTGATTGAAATCTGCAGACATACCGCTGTGCCCACTGGGACTTAACATTAATACCTTTTGAATATACGTCACGGACGCAGCTTTTCGTCCGTCCATGATACTCATTTCCACATTACCATAATTTATCTGTATGAATTCACCTTAGTTAAATCCGCCAGTATATAATTATACTATTTCAACCGCCTTTTACAGTCATTTGTTATATACTCTCACAGAATATGTTTTACTAAAGATAAACACTGACTAGATATAAAAATATATTTTTAGTTTTAATATACGCACTGCCAAAACTTATTTAGCTCGACACATGAAAAAAACATTGTAGTGAGACAAAAAAAATCCTTAATATACGCTTCGATTCATCTAACAACTATTTTGATTTATCTAATAACTTTTTAAGTCCTCCCAGTGGCACAGTAGTATGTCTGCCACTTACAACGCTAGAAACCGGGTTTCGATAATCGTGGTGGGCAGAACACTGTAGCTTTGTGCTTAGCTTTAAGCAAACAAACAAAGTCCTTCCAGTAAGCCATCGGTAAATTTTCGTACTTCCAACGTTACAATGTAGGGTTCGATTCCCTACGCTAGACAGAGCACAGGTAGCTCTTTATTTTAGCTTTGCTCTCTCTCTCACTAAAAAAAAAAAAGCAAAAATTTTTCTTCTAAGTTCAATCTTGGTTTCTTACAAAACTAACAAATAAACAGATTTATATCAAAATTTATTTTCGATTGAGAACAATAAATTTATAAATACATACAGACTTTATTTATCAATTTATAGATCCTGTGCTTCTTTCATCACTATAATGTTGCCAGGTTATACTATACTGTATGATAAAATTGTTTATTCAGTATTCAGATTAAAACTATATTATAAACTGAAATCTAACTCTTAACGAAGGACGTCATAAAAACTCGAGGAACCTGCTCATTATTTTACTGATTAGTCAGGGAAATTTCTTTCTACTTTATCATGCGATAGCTGATTGCATCGTGCTGCTATTTTATTTGGTTAATTTATTATCTTACATTAATATCTACTTTATTATCCTTCTAGAAGTTCCTTTTAAAGTTTAATGATCATGCTTGTGTTCATTCAACCAGAGATTAGACTGAGATCGCTGTCATTTGCTATTCAATGCTATATTTTACCACATATGGAAGTAGACCATCACGGACCTAAGTTATATTGTGTATAACATTGAAATGCACTCTCTCCTTTTATGAATTTTGACGCTATTAATTATTATTACTAAAGGTCTTACATTTAAACTGAAACTAACAGTTGCCATGAAATGGGCTGAAGTTCTCTTTACGTAGGACGGTAAATTTTATTTATTAACATACACTAGAGTACGTCATGAGTAAAAGTAAAATACAACCTATGTGAGTAAAATATATTTCTGGGATTATATTATTGATGGACGGTAGACAGAATTATGGTTAAAATAGGAGGCAAAAAGTCATAGATAGTAAGCAGAACCATAACTAGATCTAGCTAAAGAGATAATCAAGGGAATAGAAACAAAATGGGCCAAAAGTAAGGATGAGATGTGCAGTTTGTACTACAATGATCATCATGTTAACAATTTGCAAGTAAACTAAACTTTAGTGAATAACACTCAGTCGCTTGAAAGAAATATTATTATGATAAAGTAAGATGTGGGCTGAAGTGTTTCGGGTCTTAGATGGATTAAAATGTTTAGAATAACAGTAAAGGTTCAGTCAGTATATATTGTTTTGAAGAAATAGTAAATGTTCAGTCAATATATATTGTTTTGAAGAAATAGTAAAGGTTCAGTCAGTATATATTGTACTGACTGAACCATTACTGTTTCTTCAAAACAATATATACTGACTGAACCTTTACTATTTCTTCAAAACAATATATATTGCCTGAACCATTACTGTTTCTTCAAAACAGTATATACTGACTGAACCTTTACTATTTCTTCAAAACAATATATACTGACTGATCCTTTACTGTTTCTTCAAAACAATATACACTGACTGAACCTTTACTATTTCTTCAAAACAATATATATTGCCTGAACATTACTGTTTCTTCAAAACAATATATACTGACTGAACCATTACTGTTTCTTCAAAATATATTGTTTTGAAGAAACAGTAAAGGTTCAGTCAGTATATATTGTTTTGAAGAAATAGTAAAGGTTCAGTCAGTATATATTGTTTTGAAAAACAGTAAAGGTTCAGTCAGTATATATTGTTTTGAAGAAATAGTAAAGGTTCAGTCAGTATATATTGTTTTGAAGAAATAGTAAAGGTTCAGGCTATATATATTGTTTTGAAGAAATAGTAAAGGTTCAGTCAGTATATATTGTTTTGAAGAAATAGTAAAGGTTCAGTCAAATATATCTAAACGTAGTGTTTGTTTGAAATCAAGCATAAAGCTACACAATGAGCTATCTGTTTTTGTTTTCAACTAGATCTGTTATGTAGGCTTTAGTCTAATTCGTAATGAAGCATGAAACCCAAAACCCTTCTACGCGTGGATATGTCGTTATTGTATAATTTAAGTTTGATCTTTGCAGCTTCTTAAATATCATCTTTAAGCCTTCCGTGAAAAATAATTATCTGAATTTTATTAAGAATTAATGATCCTGTAATTTAGATAACTATAATTATAAATCGTTTAATAATGGCTGTACAAGCTTGGCTGTCATCAATGGTATTTTAGAAGTGGCAAGAATGTCGATATCATCAGTGATCTGAGAATTCAGTATGCAGTTCAAAGTGGAGAAACGAGAAAACTCATTACAGCTCACAGAGAAACTTCAAAGGCTGGGAAAAATTCCTGCGGAATATATTATTTAGTTTAGATTTTACAGAATGATCAACAAGAAAGTGTTAAAACCACCAGACTATACCAGGATTGATACCACTATTATCGGTGTGCTGGAATACACAACATAACAACAGCTATGTTCGAATTAATATTAAATCTACGCACAAATCTCAGGAACCTAAATATTAGGCAGTTCGTTTGACAATAGTTTGAAGACCCAGTATCAAACAACAACAAAAAAAAAGTGAGGATAAGGAGGAAAAATATGAACGCAATTATTTGGCTGTTCATCATGAGCCAGCTGAGGAAGCTTCGAAGCCAGAGAGAAATGATAGCTTCGAGGGTCGGCCAAGACGCCAACAGATTCCTGATTGGCATGACCAAGATTAAATCTGATTTGTCATCATTGGTTAGATTATTATAATCCTCTTTAGTGCTACTAATGAGCTTAACAGACCAATAACTACCATGGCTATCAATAGGCTAATATTTCTTATACATAACAGTTGCCAGTACCTTTTCACGGGCTTTAAGAAAATACATAACTCTTTTCGTATATAAACATACGAAGTGTTTTCATCCTCCCCGTTTTAATATAAAATTTTTCAAAATTTGTTATTTTGTGCTATTTTCACATCATGTCGGTCTTTAATATTATTAAACTCCTATTACTTTAGCTGCCCATTGTACGATGTCCACCTAGAGTGGTATCTTGTGTCTTCTCGTGCGAAAATTAGTTGTAAGGTCATCTAAGAAATGTGAAGTTAGACTGTCAGGTGACCTCTGGATGTAACGACCTCTTTTGTATTTCATTGGGGAATGACCAGTTACATGAGAAGCGATAGTTGCTCTGGAACAATATCTTAGAAGATTCAGACTGGAATAGAATCTTGGGGAATGCAATTGGAAAATTTCAATTGCGGAGTTAGTACTAACTC